ATGTGGAAACACACAATTAATATTTGTGTTCTCGGGTCCTGCAGCCTTGCCAAGTTCACCCCGAAGAACCAGCGGCTCTGCTGTACATTCTGTAGACCGCGCAGCACCCTCTACCCGAGCGTCCGTGTTAGCTGTGAACAAGCGCGGGTTCGCTCCCTCCTCTCTGATCCGGGTGCCTTTCATTTCTTTCTCTGGCCCTACGGAATCGGCTAGAACTCTAGCACAATTCTGGACAACGGTGCTGAGGACACACTGCAGGCTCGGCCCACACGCCCCGTCAGCGGTGAGGGTGTGTGAGCGCCAGCTCTTCTCACGGGCGCCTGCTGTCGGGCTGGGGGAGACCCCGCCTCCTACGGTTTACTCTGCAGTCAGAAGCGGGTGTTGGGTTTTGCCAAACGCTTTTCCTGGGTCTGTTATGGGTTCTTTTAACACGGTGAACCGAAGGGCCTGATTTGTGGGCGGTGCCGCCCTGGGACAACCTCGGCTGGTATCGTTGTGCCATCCTTTTCAGATGCCCTGGATTTAATTTCTAAAGCTTTGTTTAGAATTTCTGCATCTGTGCTCATGGAGAACGATGACCCGTGCAGGGTTTATCTGTTTGCTTTGGTGTCGCAGTGACACCGGCCTCACAGAAGGGCTGGGATGCAGCCCCTCCCTTTCACTTTTCTTAAAGAGTCTGCAGAATTGGTATTATTTTTTCCTAAACATTTGGCAGGATTCACAGTGAAGCCATACGGCGTTGGAATTCTCTTTGTGGAAAAGCTTTTAACTACAATTCTTTAACAGAAAGGCAGCTCTTCAGATGACTTCTTTTTGGGTGAGTTTTGGTAGTTGGCATCTCGCAAGGAATGCTTCCACTTCCGCTAAGATGTTAAATTGGCACGAAGCCGTCACAGCGTCCCCGAGTCCTGCTTTAACACGTGTGGCGTCTCCGGTGCGGCCAAGCCCTCGCGTCCGGTTTGGCTGCTTACGTCCCCCCTGCCCCCCGCCCTGAGCAGTCTGGCTAGAAGTGTATCGACTCGGGATCTTCTTAGAGAACCAGCTTTGGGTTCTACTGGTTTTCTTTGTAATTTTCTGTTTTCAGTTTCATTGATTCACACTGTGGTCGTCGCGCTCCTTTCTCCCACTCATCTTGGGTCTAGTCTGGTCTTCGTCTGCTTTCCTACGGCAGAGGCTGAGGCCGCTGGCTCGGAATCACCGTCCTGCTCCCACGCAGGTGCTCAGAGCGGCAGGACCTCCCCCAAGTGCTGCATCTCCAACGCTTCGGCGTGTGTGTCCCCCTCCGACTGCATTTCAGAACAGCTTCCCTCGTGACGTCTCCTCTGGCCCATAGTTATTTTGATGACGCCCTTGACTTGCCAGGATTTGGGCATTTCCTCCGTAGCTTTCTGGGTTTTTTTTAAACTTAGGTAAAATTCACATAACACAAAATGAACCATTTTAAAGTGTACAGTTCGGCGGTACGTGCGTGTGTTCACCAACTTGTGCAACCTTCACTTCTGTCTGTTTCCAGGGCGCTTCATCATCCCAGAAAGGACCCTTGCCCTTTCCCACGCAGCAGTCACCCCCGCCCCAGCCCCGCCACCCCCCCTACCGCCGCCCGCGGCCACCACCCTGTCTCTGTCTGTGAGGACCTGCCTGTACCGTCTGCTGCCTCCGCCTTCTCCGTTATTTCCCTGTGGTCTCACTACATGCTTTATATTTATTTGTTTATGCTGATGACCCAGAACACGCTCTGCCGTGGGAAGTGCTCCACGTGCACACAGAACGCGACCCTGCTGCTGTCGGGGCAGAATGCGCGTAACAGCTATCGGGCCAAATGGCTGGCGCTGGGCTTCGCGTCTCCTCATCCTTTGCCTACTTTCTAACAGCTGGGTCCGCAGATACCTGACGGACGGCTGCTGGCATCTCCGCCTGTGACGGCAGACCTGTCGACATGGCGCTGAGGTGCCGTCAGCTCTTGCTGACCTTTGATGAGCGCATCTTTTCCATCCTCTTATCTTCGGCCTGTGTATGCCTTTACATTTGCTTGCAGGCAGCATGTATTCGGGTGTTGCTGTTCGTATGACAAACACCGTCTTCTAATGGGGCGCTGACAACTTTTCGATCCTGTGTGACCGTTAATACCGTCAGGTGGGGGTGGCCCTCCTCCTGCCTGTTTCCTGCCCGCCCGCCCGTTCTTCATTCTCCTTCCTTCCTCTGCTTTCGTGTGGAGCAAGTGAATGCTTCCTATGGGTTCCTTTCCTCTCCTTTGTCAGCTCTTGAGGTGTACCTCTTTGTTCTGTAACTTCTGTAGTCGCTTCAGGGTTTACGGTGCATGACCCCACTTCGTGCAGGGCATTCAAAACCCTTTATGCTACCGCATCACACGTTGTCTTTACATATGTTACAAACTCTAGGCTACTTTTGTTTAAATGGCCAATCATCCTTCAAAGAGGCTCAGATAGTAAGAGACATACCCGTGTGCCCCCTCCCCGGGGGTCTGCACTTGGGTGCTCCTCACTCCCTCGTGCGGTCCTCCGTCCGGCCGTGTCACTTGCCTTCTGCCTCCGGGCCTGGCGTAAGCGCCCTGTGATGCCAGCCTGCAGCGGATGCTTTCTTCTCGCTCCTGAGTGGCTGGGGGGATGCCTTGACCTCCCCTTCACTTTTGAAAGCTGTTTTTCCGGGTACAGAATGCTAGCCTGCCAGCTCTTCCCTGTCTCCCGCCACTTCACAGGCGCTGCCCCTGCACAGAATATGTGCTTTTTTCTGACGCTGATTTTAAGAAGTTCTTTGAATCACGGGTTTTACACAAGGTGGGTATGGTGTGCCTTCACGCAGTTTTATTCCTCTTCGTAGTTCTCGTGCTTGGGGTTCAGTGAACTTTTGGATCTGTGGGTTTATAGTTACTTTTGCTAAACTTGGAAATTTTTCAGCCATTATTTCTCCAAATGCTTTTTCCGTCCCCTCCTGTTTCCTCTCCGCGTGCGAGGTTCCCGTCATGCCCACGCCCACACTCGGGATTGTTCCTTAATCACTGGTGCCGTTAACCACATCTTTTCCCCTCTTTTCTCTTTCATTTTTTCCTTTCTTTCATTTTTAAATATTTCTATTGCTACGTCTCCAAGCTCTCCAGTCTTCCGCGGTGTCTGCCACTCACCGCTTTCAGTGTGCACCTGACCTCACACCTGTGGTTTTCATCTTTAATTTAATTTCAGTCTTTTCTTTGTCTTCAGTGTGTCTGCTTAATCTTCTGAGCACACAGCACACAGTCACAGCGAGTGTGTCGAGGTCCCCGTCCCACACACCGGCCCGGCGTCGGCCCGGCTGGCCCCGCTGCCCCGGCCCTCCTCTCTCATCAGGAGTCGTGGCCTCTGCTCTTTTCTGCGGTGCTTTTCAATTGGCTGCGGCATCGTGTGTTTCACCGGTCCTGTGCATGGACATTCTGTGGTCCTGTAAATGTGTCTGAATTTGCTCCAGGGAAGCTGAGTCATTTACCATCAGCCTGGCCCTTCCAGGCCTTCCCTGCGGGGCTTCCCAGGCAGACCCGGAGAGGCGCCTGCCCAGGGGTAACTACTCCCGGCTGAGGCCGCTCTGTCCAGCGCCCCACACATCGTGAGGGCGTCCAGGCTGGCGGGGGGGCGCCAGTGCTGCTCCCACCCTACCCTGAGTGAGCCCCAGCTGCTGTTTCTCGTGACCATTTCAGGTGGTTCCTTCCTGGTCTGGGAAAGTGTCCTCCCAGGGATGTACGCACTGGTCTGCAGGTGGGCACTCTGGGGACGCCCCGGCCATCTCCGAGCTTTCCTTCTGCACAGTGTTTGCCTCTCTGGTCCCCTATCCTGAGAAGTCCAGCTGCCTCGCTCTGCCTGACTCCCAGCTCCGGCCCCTGGACTCGGGTAGTCGGCCAGACTCAGCCCGAATCCTCCTCCCACCGTGGCCGCGGTGAGCGTGGACAGTGTGGAGCCGCCTCTACTCAGGGATGACTGCTGGCGTCCAGTGTTTTGAGAAATCTTTGCTTGCTGTTTCCATCTGTCTTTTGGTTGTTCTGGATGCAAGGGTTAAGTCCAGGCGCTGTCACCCCACCTCGGCCAGAAGCAGGAGTTTACGTTCAGCAGTGTGTAGCACGTCGGCTGGGAACGAGCCAGGACCAGAAGGGGACCCAGACTGCCCACGGACACAAGACGCACACTTACACCCTGCGTGGAGGACAGCAGGCCCCGAACCTCGTGAAACACCGCCTCCTCATCCGCTACGGAGCTCTGGACCAGGTCGTAGGCTTCCAGCAGGCACGCAGTCTTCCGCTCCGCATCCTTCTCGCCCCAGGCACGCAACCTTTACGAGGTGGAAGAGTGGGTTCAGCACAGAAGTGCCAAAGCATCACTTCTAACAAAATGCATGCGGAAGTTTCATGTAATTGTCCTGTGGGTTTTATTAGTGCCTTAAGTTTTATGATTAGATGTTTCACCTGGAAAGATATTCTCAATGAATCTTAAAACAAAAATGAAGAAAAGACCTGGAACAACGCAGTCTGCACAGGGTGATGCTGTGTTTACAAAAATGAAGAGCAATGAAGCAAGGCCCCAGTGTCGGCCGTGCCGGCTTAATCACCCAATTTTCCCATCTGCATTTCTCTGCTTTTTCGAAAGCTCCACAGCGACCGCGCACGGCTCCCGCCCCGACAGCGTCAGCCAGGCAGACTCCACACGTGCCCAGGTGCTTTTCCTCCTCAGACCTTGCACTCGTTTGCTCGCTATGCACCCAGCCAGTGGTGGCCGTCGGAGTGGGCGGGGGCGAGAGGGGCGTGAAGCGAGGCTTTGCGCCCCCCCTCGTGTTGGGCGGGGCTCTGCGGGCCACGTAAGAATGGGAGTCTGCCCTGCGAGGACTGCGCCTGGAGGTGTGCCCGCTGTGTGAGCACGTGTGAGTGGTCGGGGTAGTGGGACACGCGGGTGTGAGGCGCCCACCCACGGGGAGGTGTGGGGTGACGTGTGCACTGTGCCCAGGCTGGGCAGTGGCTGTGCTGGGAGGGGCGAGGCAGGAGGGGGCTGAGAGGTGGGGCTGAGTGTTTGCGACACCCAGGTGGGTGCTCGGGGGCGAGGACACCCGAGATGAGCCGCGAGGGAGGCTGCGGACCCGGGGCGAACTCTCCGCAGGAGGTGCGTACAGACAGGGAGGAGGCCCCGCTGGGGGTCGAGGGAGCTGGCCCTGGGAGGAAAGCCAGAGGTGGGCAGAACGTGGGAATGCCCGGCCAGGTGGGGGTGTGGGCCCGGGCGGGGGCTGCGGGAGCTGGTGAGGGCAGGTCTCGGGGAGCCCAGGCAGGCCTGCCCACCTCTTGAGTTTGGCCCGCTCCAGCTTTATCTCCACACACTTCTCCTGGCAGCCGCAGCTGATAAACTTCTCCTCGATTCCCAGCAAGCGGTCGTCCATTTCCATCAGCAGAGACGAGCACGCGGGGGACTCGCCCTCAGCCAGCTCCTGGGAGGCCTGGATCTGGAGGTGCACACACCTGTGGGGGCGGGGGTTCCTCTTCAGGTTCCGCTAAACACACTCTCCTTCCCCATGACTGTCGTCACGTCCGCCACCCACGCCTGGCTTCCATCCCAGATGCTGGGAGAAACGCCGTCAGAGTGTTTCTCGAAAACCCGAAGTCCTGCAAACCACGGTCTCTGGCTCACCTTGCGATAAAATCAGAAAGAAGCACCTCCCCACCCCAGGCGCTTTACAGCCCCGGGGAAGTTCAAAGCCTCGCTCCTGAAGGGCTCAGGAGCACAAAAGAAAACCCTGGGGAAACCACCCGTTCACACGTCCACCTGCAGGCGCTGCGGCGGGGCCCAGAGGTGGAGACGGAGCGGCCACGGGCACCCTCTCGCCCGCACAGAAAGAAGAGCTTGACAGAGACGAAGGGAAACAGAGGAAACCAAAACCAGACGAGACCCGGTCGGGAGGCGGGAGCCGCTCTGAGGCGGCGGGGAGGCTGGGACCTGAGAACTGACCTCGAGACAGACCTCGCACAGCTACGAGGAAGGAGCCGGGAAACCATTTTCCAGGAGAAGCTCCTGGAAGGACGGCTCAAGGACAAGCTGAAAGCCGGCAGCCGCCGCAGACACGGCGCTCCTGCCTGGGGTCTGTCCCCACGCCGCCCGCCCGGCCCGGGCAGCGGGAGAGGCCCTGAGGCGGTCTCCGGACATGCGGCCTGGAAAGCCAGTGGGGCAGGGAAGGCAGCCTGGCCCGACCCCGGACAGACGTCTGACCACCTGACAACGTCCAGCGCCGCCCGGGGAGAGAGAGGGGAGCGCGGGCCTGCCCGTCCCCCCACCCTAGAGGCCCCCAGGAAACCAAGCCATGCTCCAGGGCCTTGAGACGGTCCCCAAGTGCTCGGGGACAAACAAGACCACCTGCCCCGCGCCGAGAGGAAGGGACGCAGGCGGGGCTGGGCGTGGCGGCTGGTCTGAGGGTCCCTGGAGCAGCGGGGACAGGGCCTCGTCGTGCGATTCTCTCAGCTTCGTGGGTTTGGAATGTGGCATGAAAATCAGTACATGTAAAAAAGTAACGCTGACTTTCATGTCAATT